TTTTTTTTTTTTTTTTTTTTTTTTTTTTTTTTTTTTTTTTTTTATAAAAAATAATGATAATGGTGGGCCAAGAAAGACCCAAAAGCGATGGGTCTCGTGTGGCTAATTGATATTTTTTATTTAATTATTTTTGTTGTTCTATTCATAACTACTTTCTTTCAAAGAAACACCAAAAAGAAACTGAGTCCCACAACCTTTCCCCTTCTCAATCTCTTCTTCATTCATTCATTCACTCATAACCTACTTTACTTCATTCTTTCATTATCCTCTTACCCTTATCTCATCATTAATATAGCGTTTCTAAATATATCGCTCGTAAACAAGTCGTATTTTGTGAATTCAAGCATAAAACAACCCGACAATACGTTATATCATATTAGTAACAAAATTTTAAATTGAGAATTGAATTTATTGAGATATAATATTTGGAGTATATATTATTTCCTTAAGATTTGATTTAGTATATTTTATTTTATTCTCTATATTTAATTAGTTAATATTCTCATTATTAGGACTATTATTTGCTAGCCCATATCCTATTTAAAGCTTATAGATATGAATAAGAACACACCTCCTTCGATTCTAATTTTATTTATATTTCTCGTTCTTAACGGAAAATTATATAATAACTTTAAAAAAATTTAATAAATAATAAAATATTATAAATATATATATTTTGGAAAAAAAAAATAAAGGACGAGAGGTGGGGTCCACACTATAGATGTAGTGGGTCCCAGAAAGTGTCCAATAATTGTATGTATCTGTGTTGTGCACGTGTGGTGTTCTCTCTCTTCTTTTCCAAGTTTCCTTTTTCAATGTATCGCGTTTAATGCCTTCATAAACTTTTTCAAATCTCTTTTAAATTATTATTATTATTATTATTATTGCTTTGCCTAAATAATAATTATATATATATATAATATACTCTGTATTTCTCTTAATTTCACAAGATTTAAAATACAGTAACAGTGACAGGCTGGCCAAGCTGTCGGTGACCCGGCAGTCAAACTAAGCGATGGCAACCCAAACCCTACGTGTCAAATTCACCCACGTCATCACATTGGACATTGGCACGTGTCCTTCGCAGCTCGTGGGTCCCTCTTCCCACAACATCATCATCACCCTCAAAAATCAATTTCTTTTCAATTATTATTATACACACACATATATATATATATATATTTAGTTTATATCCAAACAAATTCTTCCTTCAATAATTATTTACGTCTATTTTTAACCCGGCTAATTTTTTAATTCAAAAAAATAAAATTAAAACAAAGTAGGGCCCATTTGAAGGAAATAATAGCGCTTGTGGGACCCCATGGTACTTAGAGAAGGACATAAATTTAGAGAGAAACAGCCTTATCAAACTCTTTAATCAATAATTATGTATTAATTAATTGATTTTCAGCCAAAATTTTAAAAATGTATGATAAATTACCCAATTTATAATATTTTTTTAATACTAGAAAATTATATAATCATGGATTTATATTATAGTGAGTAATGTTTTAATAATGAAAATAAAAACTATAGGATATATTATAGAATATAAGTTAAATGTAATTGGTCGTATAAAGTTCAGTACATGTACGAGACAGCGAGAGAGAAAACGTGATGAGGCGGAAAGCGAGATTCTTTATGCACACGTGTCAGTTCACGCGAGCGAGTTTTGAGGGTCCTCTACGCGCTGTCTTTTTTTTTTCTTTTTTAATTATAATTCTTTTTTTACCAAACCCGGTGCCTTTTCGCGTGAGGCAATCCTTTTTAGCCTATATTCGCTTGTCGTAAGCAAATATCCGCATTTTTTTAATCCTTAAAAAAAGAATAATAATAATAAAACTGACCCATAGATGATGCAAAGGTAACTGTAAAAACTGATCCCCCCGCCAGCCTTTTCAAAATTTACTATTTCGAATATAAATATATTTCCGAAGAATTATTTATTTAGAAAAATAAACAAATAAAAATAAAAATAGGGAAGTGGTTTTTTTTTTTTTTTTTTGTAAATATGAAGATTAAAAAAATGGATTATTTTCAATATTCTCACATTCCGACAAATGTGATTGTTTGCTAACATTTGTTTGACCTATAATACAAGTAAACCACCATTTTTCTTCTCTTCTTTTTTGACTAAAATTCCCCATTTTTATTCTCCTTTTTAATCATTTTATTGCAAATTTATAGCTTGCTTTGTTCCGTTTTGTCCTTTGACTTTTGTAACTCGGATTTGACCAAATATAAAATTATGAACGTAATTTTACAGAATCAAATTCATTCGTTCTCGTGTCGGGCAAATAGGTAACTCGTTTCCTTAAATGTTGGTTTTATTAAAGCCCCTCTCTGGTAAGCATCAAAAGAACTTAATTTTTTTTTGTTAGCCCATAAAAACATGGTTCCTTAGAAGGTTGTGATGCTAGATGTAATTACAAAAATAAAACATCGATTTTCTTGTAATTAATTATCTTAATTCAACCATTCCCAGCAAAGCTTTGGGCCAAGTTAGTGTTCTTTAGCCTCTTGAGCCCAATTTAATGGCTCAATTCTCCCTTGGGTGGGAAATTATGTTGCATTGCTTAAAAATAAATAAATGTGTAATTATAAATATATATAAATAAGTAATGAGTTAAAAAAAAAAAAAAAAAAAAAAAAAAAA